TTTTTTCCCCCTCTCTCTCCCCGTGTGGTCACTATTCTAATGTTTTAAGAATTCGGGGTTTGCTGTTTTTCTTTCTCCTCCCCCCACCCCACTTTTTTTTTTTAAAGAAAGATCAACTCTTTAAAGTGTTTGCCGATAACATCTCCGGGATAGAGATTATTTTTCATTGGGCCTATTGTGAGAAGTAACCGGCTTATTGCATTACTGCAGCACACATTTCAGACTATACAACTGTAACAAATGAACAACTTGTCCTCCACGGACTCACTGCGGGATCCAATTAGTTCGTAAACCTTTTGCACAAGTTTTCTAATTACTTTCAAGAGTTTGTGGCTCTTATAGGGTTCCTTTAACTCCTCAAGAAACGGCTTCAGTTTTAGGATCAAATACTTCTTTAAAGAGTCCTCACATCGTCCCCTTAAAGCAAATGGATCAGTTCCTCAAGTCAAGGCGAGATACTTACGTACGTTTTTATATGCTAGTGGGCTTCAGTAAATATTTAGCACTGGAGGACAAAATGTGAGAAAGAGATTCATTTTAGTGCTTCGCATTTTAAAATCATTAAAATTGCCTTTTAAAAGAGGCTGACACACTGCTATGCAATCTACCATATCATGTGACTACTTCGGCAATAGCTCTATAATATACTGCAACTTCAGCTCATCCTCAGCATCTTGGGGAGCGGGAGGGTGGGGGAGGGGGAAAGCCACCAGAAAAATACTTGCTGGCTGACAACTAGAGGCAGTTTAACAATATTTTAAGCAAGAACTCTTTGCAGCATTAAAACATGGATAACCCTGAACGTTATTTTATTAAAAGATTATGCACATAGGTACATGAAGGTAGTAAGTGTACCCATATATACACGTATCCTGTCTACTTAGGCGTAGTCCTAGAAGCCAAACTCTGTAAACTAAGCAGCTTGTCCAAATCCCTTTCTCCATTAAAATCATATCTATGCCCTAACAATGATTTAAACACAAAAGTAATTTTTTGAGGGTGGGAAGGGGGGGTGGCATTTACTCGAAAAGTGCAGAGAATAATGTAGATCACAAGTTAGGTGGGTTTAAATTCTCTCATTTAGCCCCGTGGGTGTAACCACGTAAATTTAAGGGGTAAAATCCCGGACATCTTTAATTCAATGCCTATTCTAGTAAGCGGAGCTAGATCGCACTACGTTTTTAAGGAGAACTCCCCAGACAAGTCAAAGGGAGTTCCGGTCAGGAAAGGATGACATACGAACTGCCCTCCCGTTTGATTAAATAGCCTGCTTCTTTAACATGCAAATTACAGATTTTTCCCCCAACTATATTAAGAGAAAAAAGGAGCGCGTGAAAAAATGTGGGCCTTGCATATGCAGCACTGAACTCCCTAGAGCTCTAGAGCCTTTTAAGTCTATTTAATAAAAGAGACAAAAAAACTATCGAGTATATATGAATTTAGCCTATTTTTTTATTTCTGTGTGTTTATAGTAAACATTTTTGTAAGTGACAAACACGGGCATATGACCACAGTATCACAATCAAGAAATTTTAAGACGACATTAACAATCACTCAAATTTATGCGGCATTTGCGCAACACAGGTTACATATTTGCAAGGTTTACCTATAAGTACAATAGGTATTAACATTTCACTACATTTAGAAAAAAAATAAAGGTGACCTGTTAGTGACCACATACATCAAAATATACACAACACAAACTGAAGGCAATCATTAATTTTGTCCCCTTCTGATTCATTTGAACGGGCAGTGCTGCAAACTGAAACAATGTTGTTGTTGCTTTAAATTACTTAGTACACTGAGTGCATTTTCTAAAACCCAATCTTTGGTCTAAAAGTAAACAAAACAAAACGGAACCAAAAATCAAAATCAAAATCAGTTCATTAAAGAAAAGGACAAAATCATAAATGGCCAAAATGTAGCTTTTGGGCATCTTTCACTATTCAATCTGCTTAAATACAAATCACATTTGAATTTTAATGGGTTTCATAAATTTAGTGGGCTTTTTTTTTTCCTTCCCAAGGTCTGCATCCACCAACATATCCATGATAACTTATAATACTGCAAACATGGAAACTCTGGCGGTTTTAGTGATAGGCTTGTCATAGCTGAATAAAAATTGCAAAAGCAGTCACTATTTAGATACACATTCTACTATCATTTTGACTTCCAAACTTCATAGTCTACAATGTCCTCTCCCCACATTGCACCTTGCTGACGCTCCTCCCCTCGCTGGAATAATAAACAACCCTAAAGACTGAACAAACGTACAGAAAATGGGGGACTTAATAAAAAATACCTGGACTTTTTTGTTTTGTATTTTTTTGTTTGTTTGTTTCTCTCTCTCTCTCTCTCTCTCTCTTTTAATTCTCATGTACAATGCAAATGTGTGTAAAATGTTCACTTACAGTCTGCTCCCATGGAGGTTAATGTATTAAAGGGTTTGAAGAAGACCCCTGATTTTGATGTGTGAAATAATCAGAAAGTCCTCCGGACAGTCCCGTTGTAAAACTTGGCAAAGAAGGTCTTAAGGACTCACAGGGGAGAGTGGAGGGCGCCTGCGGAGACGTGGAGGAGGAGGCTGCCCTGGCCGTCATTGAAGTGCTGCTTTGAGAAGTCATTGAAGGGTGAGGGACATGGGGGAAAAAGTAACTGGTCTGGCCCGCGAGAAGGTTCACGGAGCAAGGGTTCAGGGAATAGGTGCCAGAGCAGGGGACTGACAAGCCACATGGCACTGAGGCGGCCAGCGCTGCTGCTGTGAGGTGATGAGTGGCGTAAGGTATCTCTCCATTGACTAGTCTATCAACACTTAACCCATTCGACGTGGAAAAGGAGTGGTTGTTTCCCAAGGAGTTTTGAGTCAACACTGAACTGTAGGGCATGGGGTGGCTGGGGTAGGCGGACGTGGTGCCATTGTAACTCAAAGTGCTGCTGGCCCGGGGGTGGTGCAGGGAGAGGAAAGGGGACATGGGCCAATACAAAGATCCTGCCCTATCCATGAATGTCAGTCCGGTGGAGGTGAGGCGGGCGCCCCGCTTGAAGGCCAGCTTGGCCCGCGACGTGGTGGACCTCCGGCGGAGCTTGCCCGTGGTGCCCCCGATGAAGACGTCGTCGCTGGAAGGGTCCAACATCCAGTAGTTCCCTTTGCCCGGGTCGTCGTAGTGGCGGGGCACCTTGACGAAGCACTTATTGAGCGAGAGGTTGTGGCGGATGGAGTTCTGCCAGCCCTGCTTGTTCTCCCGGTAGTAGGGGAAGTTCTTCATGATGAACTCGTAGATGCCGTTCAGCGTGAGGCGCTTCTCGGGGCTCTGCCGGATGGCCATCATGATGAGCGCGTTGTAGCTGAACGGCGGCTTCTCGTACTTGCCGTTCTTCTTCTCGCCCTCCTTGCCGCCCTCGCCCTCCTTGCCCCCGTCGCCCGCCGCCTTCTTCTCCTCCGCCGCCTTGTCCTTGTCGTCCGCCAGCTCCGCCGCCGCCGAGCCGGGCTCGCCCTTGCCCGCC